GCGTTGCGGAGCACAGGCTCCGGACGCGCAGGCTCAGCGGCCACGGCTCACGGGCGCAGCCGCTCCGCGGCATGTGGGATCTTCCCGGACCAGGGGACGAACCCGTGTCCCCTGCATCGGCAGGCAGACTCTCAACCACTGCGCCACCAGGGAAGCCCCCCAGATTTGTTTTGAGCCTGGGGTGGGAGTGGGTAAGGAAAGAGGCTGGGGCAACCCAGGATGACCTGAGGTATGACTTTAGCGCCCCCTCCCTGTCAGCCTGATAGGCCGGGATGACTGAAGCCAAAGAATACCCCTAGGTCCGATTCCAGGAATCCCGCCTGCACAAGGAAGGAACATTGGGAATTTGGCTGGCCCTGCTGCACTTCCGCCTTGCAAGCGCTTCAGCACCGCGGACAACGACTCCCCATCCGGCTTCAGCTCAGGCGTCTCCGAGCACCCACCGCCTTAACACCGGCTTCCCAACCCCATTTACCTCCTGCTGTAAGATAAGCCCTCCTTCGAAAGGAGAGCTCCTGGTAGTCTTATTTCTACTTCCCAAGTCGCGTGTGGAGCTATCTACAGCGAGGATGCTGATGACGTGGAACACGATTCTTGATGCTTGTCAACATTTGAACTTTCTATTTCCCTTGGGGGGCAGGCAGGTGGGAAGTAGTATTTCCCATTTTACAGATGAAAAAAATGAGGCCCAGAGAGCAAAAGTCATACAGAGCTGGTATTCACACTTCTATTCCTGCACCTTCCCGTACAAGGGCTTCCCCACTTCCACCCAATCTCTGATTCAAATAGCCAAGTGGGGAGCAGATGATTCCACTAAAGGGGAGAATCAGTTAAAGCAGGAAGAAAACACTGATTAATGTGGTGCTAATGAGGGCGCTGGGGGCCTTACTACTCTCAAGGATCCTGAGTTGGTGAGAACACAGTCTAAAGCAGAGCTAGTCACCTGGACCTTTGTAATCCATCCAGGCCTGAGGCACATCTAGGGCACATCTGGGGCCTGCCTGAGTGGAAGGGGTCCCCCTTCTGGGAGTCTGGGCATAGGGACGAGAACCTCCCCAGGGTGTGTTAGTCAGGGAGACACTTTTTCAAGGCGTTACAACCTAGTCCTCTCCTCATCCCCAAGTCTTAACCTCACTCTCCTCAAGACAGACAAGGATCATGGCCTCCCTTCACCTCCCCAGCTTGTTTCAGACACAGGGCAGACAGTCTCCCTACTCCCATTCTCTGTTGGAGTTCTTGGGCAGGCTGCACAATGAGAGACAGAAACACACGTATATGGAAATGTACACAAGGTGACACAGTCACCCACACAAACACGTGGATCTGCCTACCAAACCCAGGAATATGCACAGGCACAGATGTACTGGTCTCACATACCTCCCCAGTGTGGGAGAGAGAGGATGCCTGAGCAGCAAAGTGGTTTGGGGGGATACTTAGAAGGGGAGGCCACATGGCACCTCCCAGGCCTAGAGCTTCTATCTCTGGGTCTGGAGGGGAGGCTAGAGGGTTTGTTTTCCTCTGGGTTTGGGTGAAGTTCTGGGAGGGTGGTTGGGGGTTGAAGGAGCTTCGGTTGTAAGAATGATCTCTAAATACTTTGTGGGGGGGTGCTGATCCAGCATTAACCAAAGCCTCCCCACAGGAGCTGGTGACGCTCCCGGAAGCCAGGCTGGGTAGATGGACACCAGAGTCCTTCCTTGGGTCGACCCGGGCTATTTGTGGAAAACATGGGGAAGCAGTGGTGTGCACTAAAGACCCCCTTCTGCCCCAGGAAGCCAGAGGGGCAGCAAGGGTAAGACATGCCATAGACACTCACAGAGCCCCACTGCAGACATCACCACATGAAAGTACACAATCAGTATCAAACACCAATACAACCTGCAGTCTCACAATTAAAACACAACCCAGTTTAACACATGCTTGTCCTAGGAGGTTCACAGTCATAAAGTCTTACAAAGAGACATACCACCATAAAGTGAAGACCTGACACATACTGGTAGTCACATGCCTCTTCATACAGAAAATCACACACTCAAAGCACAGAGTTGCACACAGAACAGAGATACTTGGTTAAAACAACTTCATTAGTACAATCAGGGTCCTACACAACCTCACTGAAACATCTGACAAGACATACAATTGCACAATCACAGGCAATCACACTCACCCTGGCTGTCACCAAGCCCAGGGCACATGGCAACCAGCTGTGGGAGGTGCACACACATATATACACACAGACACAAAGAATGACAGGCGCTCTCGCACGTAACACCTCCCACTATAGACACCCTCCTAGCCTTGTGTCATGCATGCCCACACCTGCTGCCTCTCCCCACCTGCCCACGTGCTCTGCCCCCAACCCTTCCACCACCACCACCCCCGCGGGACCCAAGGCTTTGAACCTCAGTGTTCTGCCGCCCAGAACAGCCGGGAGGGTACCTGGGAATGGGTCAGAGTGTGGGTAAGGGCCTGGCAGGGGTTAGAAGGGCTTAAGGGTCTGGGGGGATGGAATCTACCCTCCTTCCCCCGACCCCCAAGCCACTGACTCACCCGTGAGCTGGTCATAGGATCCGTCCAGGTCTCGGGAATCGGACAAACTCTCCTTACGGCCCTGGCCCCGCATGGCCCCCGGCGCCCCCCTCCCGTCCCAACGTGGGCCGTGGGAGGGGGCGCCGGGTGGCTGGGATAGAGAACTCACACGGCGCCCCCTGGCGGCGTAGTGCGCTGCCGGGGGCTGGGGGCTGGAGAGTCAGCGCTTGGGCTAAGAGCCTGGGGACCGCCGCGGTCTAGGGCCCACCTGGGGTTCCTGGGGCAGGAGCGGGAGGCTTGGACAGTAGGTGAGCGCAGAGCCGGAGGCAGAGTGGAGCGGAGAAGAGCCCGGAGCTGGAGCCGAGCCGCCTCTCCTCCCGCCCCCTCCCCGCGGCTGTCACCGCCACCTCCCCCCTTTGGCGCTGCCGGGATTGGCTCCCCCTACCCCCGCCCCCTCCTCTTTGCAGTTCGGGGGAGGCACCCGGTGAAAGGGTGAGCTGAGAAGTGCGGGGAGGGAGACGAGCTCTCTGGCAACACTACCCCCTAATCCTGAAGTCCCGGGTCCTGCGGGAGGAAGAGGGAACAGGGCCAGAAAGGCTCCACTAGGAGGAATCCCCGCCCCCGATTCTCAGCACTCTTCCCCTACCCTCAGCACCGGCCCGGGTATGTATGAGTCCCCTGTTCGGTCTCCCTGTCAGCCCCTATTTTCTCTGTTGTTCTTCACCCATGTATGAGTCTCTTTGGCCCCCACCAGTGCCCACCCTGCTTGAAGGGGGTTAGGGATGCAAAGGTCAACTCAGCCTCTAACGCAGGCTTATCTCAGGCCAGTGGACTACAATTTTCTCTTCTCTTGGAAGGACCCCTACCCTCACCCACTCCAGGACCCTGTCTCTGGGCCCTATTCACTCTCAAGGTGCCTTCTTCCCTGATCTAATGACCCCCGCTGGGCAACTGGGAAGAAAAAGAAAAGAAAGGGTGAACCAGGTCAGTTTCTCAAGACTTTCTTGTTCTTTTTTTCCTTTTTTTTTTTCTTTCAACTTTCCTGCCCTGCTGTCTTCTGTCACCTGCCCTGTCCTAGATTCCTTCTGTTTTCCAGAAGATTTGGGAAATGATTGAGGGGTTTGGGGATGCAGGCAAGAGTGGGGGAGAAATGCCCTTGTTACGAGGCCCCCTTCCCTTAGACTAGCTCTTTTTTCTGAAGCTAGCGGCTAGCACAAAGCTCGCCTACCTCCAGCTCCCAGGAATGGCTACTGAACAACTGAGCCTACTAGTCTGACCTCCCCCACTATCCTTCCTGGGCTCCTAGCCCATGAGCCCCCCAACCACCATGAGGATTAGGGGCGGGGGCAATGTCTGATGTGTTTTGATGGTATGGTGGCAGTGTCCCAGGTAATCCTGCCTGCCCAATGGCTCCTCTGGAGGAGTGACCTGCTGAGACGGAAAGCTTCAGCTAAAGTGACCCCAGCACATTTAATCTCTTCAGCTGGATTAATTTACAAGCACTTGATTCAATTAACCCAGCAGGAA